GACTTTGCCAAGGAAGCAGCTAGCGAGCCGAGAAAGAAGATGCCAATACCGATAACTAGGAGCACCTTGCGGGACCAGATGTCAGAAAGCCGTCCGTAGAGGAGTTGGAATGACGTGGACGTCAGGAAGTATGCGCCTGCAATCCACGCGCTTTCGTTACTGGCGTTAAGATCCTTGCTGACAATGGTCAAGCTAGCTGCAAGTGTTGTTTGATCCATCAAGGCCAACAAGTCGACGCTCGCGCAAGCAAGGAAAATCTGCTGGTATGTAAGTACCGAAAGTGAGAATAGCCGGGTAAGTACCCACCGTAATGATCGTCTTGACTGGTACATAGTCTTTGAAGTATGGAGTTAGCAAAATTCGGAATGTCATCTGCGCATACCGTACTGGTTTGTTCGTTGAATTCTGGAGGCTGTTTTGGCGCCTGAACAGAGGAGGCTTCCGCAAGAGATTTTTCCGGTGTGCTCATGGCAGCCTGGGGCTGATCTTCTGTCGCCATGGTTCAGAGATGTTCGATTTTCCGTATTCACGAAGTCGGTGGTGTCTTGGGATGGCTTGATAAAAGAATAGCACGACTCAACACGGGCCGAGCTGGACAGATATGATTGCGACTTGAAGCGGTGGAGACAACGTTGGTGCAGATGCCAACGCGGTTTGTGACCGCAATCTGACATGTAGTACTCAACCTGGTCCATCCACGCCGATCGGTTGATCTTCCACTCTGTGTATACTTCCGAAGACGTAAGACGCAAGGAGCCGAATACATCCTTGCAAAGTACGCGATGCAAACTAGATGTGTAAGCGTCTACGCTCGTACCCTAGCTTCTTGGGTCCTGTTGGCTGCCAAATGTTCTTACGCCCAGGTACTATGACCGGCAGCTACCAGCAATCTGCAACAAGCAATGGGTGTCGCAGCACGTCCAGTTCGTGGCGCGCTCACCGGGAACGCTGTTGAGTACAATGAGGGCGACTACGCGCGTGTGCTCCACGCAGGGGCGGGCTTCGGTAAAGAATTGCGACGTATGCACGTCAAATGTTCTCTCATACCCTGTCGTCGTGTCAGACCGACACATGGCGAGGTTCGTGACATTCAAAACTCCAGAACACCCGTGGGGTGGCCCATGTCGCGTCAACGCTAGTCCGAAAACACAATAGCACGAGCGCGTCTCGTCCTGACTCGCCGCCATCAATGTGCTCAATGTGCCTCAATGTGCCTCGAAGCCATCAACGACCATCACCATCCCGTCCAATGAGCCCATCAAGGAAACTTCTGTGTTACGCTCTCGCCCGTAAATTATAGTAACACGTCTTGGCCGACGCGGGACGTTCCCATGGCCGCAGCGGGAATCCTACCGTACGAGTCCCGCTTCGGAATTGATCTTCGCCCAGCACTAGCACCCATGAAGTGACACCGATGAGCACCTTCATCGTTGCATGTTGCATGATGCCCACGCAAAAATATCCCGGTGCTGTAGATCATTTGGTTCAATATCGACTTCGACAGGCAGGCTCCGATGTGTCACCGCGAAAGCGCTCACTTAAAGAGCAGTCCGTTCCAGCGCTTGGGCTGCACTCGTATTGTCTCGTACAACTTCTGCTCACTTCAATATGGTCTCACGGAATTATTTGAACGCGTATTCGGGGCCAGATGCTCTGCAGAACTACTTCGACCCCGACCGCACACCAATGATTCCTCTCGTTGAGATTCCGCCAAGCTTGAACCCGTACTACAACGATGGTGTCAGAATACATGCGAAGATGATGTCTATGCATCCCTCGAACAATGTCAAGATCATGCCTGGTAAGTGCGAAGTAATGAGACGGTGGCAGCATCGATCAATGCTAATGCAATGCCAGCGTTGAACATGTTGACCAAAGAGGTCCATCCGGAGAAGTCTAAGACAGTAGTCGAGTACAGTTCGGGATCTACCGTCATATCTCTGGCCCTGGTTTCTCGTATCAACCACGGGATACAAGATGTTCGCGCCTTTTTGAGTAACAAGACTTCGGCTCCAAAACTTAGGCTCATGCAATTCTTCGGACTGGACATGTACGAGCAGGAATTATTTGTTTCTCGAAGCCATCTAACTCACTGGCAGTACGCTCTTCGGTGGTCCCTCACAACCAGAACCACACGACGAACGCGGCGGTATACATCGAGCTAGAATCATGGCCGAAAAGGATGAAGCAATCCTCAACGTCAATCAATACGAAAACGACGCAGTAAGCTACCCCATCGCCTTTAGTCGACGCAGCACAAGCTAACTTCTCAAGAACTGGCAATCGCACGTCAAATGGACCGGACCGCAAATACATCAGCAATTACCCAATATTCGTCTCATGTGCGCGGGTATGGGTACGTCTGGGACGATGACAGGGCTCGGCCAATATTTCAAGTCAGCAAAGCCGTCTGTGGTTCGATTAGGGTGAGTCGACAGATTCTCACCGCTTATGGAGATGTAGCCTGACCAAGTGCCCAGTGTGTGCACCGCCGCAGGCGATCGAGTTCCAGGGCCTAGATCTCTCGCTCTTTTGAGCCCTGTCGAGTTCCCATGGCGCGACTCCGTGGATGCCATTGAAGAGGTGGGCTCTAAGGATGCTTTCAGTCTATCCCTGGCACTCTGCCGCGCAGGTCTGATCTGCGGTCCATCTTCAGGGTTTAATTTGCAAGGTAAGCGGAATTATCTCGCAGTACAAGTATATCCACTGACATTTTCAGGGCTGTTCAACTATATCGAAAAGCGAAAAAATGACGGCACATTATCCGACCTTGCCGGTGCCAGCGGTATCATCGACTGCGCATTCGTGGCCTGCGATGGCCCATATCAGTACATCGATGAATATTTCGACAAGCTTGGAGATTCCGCTTTTCGACCTATACACAACGAGGTAAAAAACACTTTTTCCTTCAGTATCTTCGCGGCTGACCCTCATGCTGTCGCGCTTTGTCAAACATAGCTAACATAACTGCAGAATCTCACCGCAGTCGATCTGTACCGCTACGACGAAGCATGGGAACTCACACCTACACGAGCGCTATCGCAGTTTGCCGAATCCGTCGAGAAAAACAACGGTGCTGTCCTGCTTGATCTGAGGAAGCCAGAGGACTTCGTCACCAGTCACATCCCAGGATCGTACAACCTACCGCTACAAAGCCTGAATGCCTCCACACCGAGCCCGTTCTCGGATGCCGCGGTTCTCGAGAAGCAATGGAAAGAGTTGGAATCAACATTCACAAGCGAGCGCATTAGTGCGCATGACCTTGCTGGCAAAGATGTATATATTGTTTGCTACGGTGGTGATACGGCCCGCGTCGCGACGAGCGTGCTCCGCGCCAAAGCCATCTCCGCAAGTAGCGTCAAAGGTGGCATCACCGCATTACGGGAGGAGCTTCCACATCTTCAGATGACCGAGCGCGGTAGAGGTTTGGTGCAGCAAGATTGGCTGAAGTCCCCGGATGTCGCAGTGAGAGAGTTGCGAGCCGATTCGTTGTCTCCGCAAATCCGGGGTGATGATGGGGTTGCAGTGCAGGTCAGGTAACGATACATTCGAAGGATCTTATATACTTGCATGGTATCAATACTTGGCAAAACGAATTCAGCTATTTTTGACTCTTCCACGATGCTTCACAGCGTGCTAGCTCTTGATGACGCCCACAGCGCACCCGTGGACGGCCCCGGGGTGGTGCTTGTGCAATTTCTCTAGTCCATTTCGATGCTAGCGCCGGCGATTGAAAGTGCAAAACCTGTACTCCGAGCCTCCAACGCCGGCTTGAAGCCTTTAGGCGTCCAGATAGTCCGGCCTGGCCTACTCTCATCCGCCCGAGAACGTCGACTAGTCGTAAAATGACCGTCTCAACGTATAGACACAGTTTACGCACACGACTGCGGCACGACCGCTAGGCCGACTGTAGCGCATCATTGCGGAATTTGAGATCATAAGTCCGGCTGCAGCCAGACTCTCACGAAGGTAGAAAATGTATATTACAGTGGCTTTAAGCCCATGTTAAGCCATGTTGAAGTCACTGAGACACTTCTCTTTTTACCTTACTCTCTTCAAACCCCATCATCACTCACAATGCAGTCCCTCGCCAAGGAGATTGCTCTTGTCACCGGAGCGAACAGCGGCATCGGATTTGAGATCGCTCATCAGCTCCTCAAGCGGGGTCAATATCACGTCCTCCTTGCCTCACGATCGACTACAAAAGGGTCGGCCGCCCTCGAAGACCTGCAAGCACGCAAGCTCTCTGGTAGCATCGAGCTTGTGCATCTTGATCTGCAAAACGATGACCACATCGCGCAAACTGCAACCCTTATCGAGAAGAAATACGGCAAGCTCGACATTCTCTTCAACAATGCTGCAGTCGCGCTGCCCGAAGGCTTGACGGAGCGGCAACGCTTGGCAACGGCTTTCGACGTGAACGCAACAGGCCCATGGCTTCTTACCAACGCCGTAATTCCGTCGCTGAAGAAGAGCGCGAACCCGCGCATTATCAACATCTCGTCAGGGGCTGGTTCAATCGGTCGCCGTCTCTCCACCGAGAGCCCGATGTACAAGATCCAAGCCGTCCCATACCGCGCCAGCAAGGTCGCCTTCAACATGATCAGCTCGTGTATGTATGTGGAGTACGGGCTGGGTATACCGCAGGAGGACTTTGAGAAAGCTGGGGAGGGCGATGCTGATGCTGCGAAAGAGGCAGACAATGTCAAGATGAAGGTCTTCTGCTACGACCCTGGCTTCACGGCTTCTAATCTTGGCCCATATAACAAAGTGGAGTTTGGTGCAAGGAGTGCGGAGGACACTGTGAAGAGTATTATGGAGCTTGTTGATGGAAGGAGAGACGACGAATGTGGCAACTTTATTCATAACACGGGAGGTTACCCATGGTAGGCTGAACGTACTCGGAAGTGTCGATTAATACATACGGATGCGTAGTGCATCGATTATTATCCTACCGATGTGCACTTCGCGTTCCTAACATTCACATACGTAGGTACTGTCTAGCACATCTCCGATACTGCTGCGACACGCGAGACCCCAGTCTCAATCTCCTCGCCACTTGCCTCTACCCTCACGAACCCAAGCTTGTGACCCACGACTGCCTTGGTCTCGTAACCAGACTTCTCAACGCTGGCGACCTTGCTAAGGGTTCCGTTGAATGCACCACCGAATACGGTCCACGTGTCAACTTCGGTGGCACCGTTCCAGCTCATGTAGACCTCTGTGCCGTTGCTCGCCTTGCAGGCGTACACATCAGGTTTGGTGCTCGGCTTACCAACCCACTCGGCCTTGTAAGCGCGGTAGCTCTGCACCTTCTCTGGTTCTCCCCATTTCACAGTCAACACAACATTGCCATCTTGATCAAACTCCTTCAGAGTCGGGACGCTGCCGTATCCCATGATAGAGTGGTTGGAGGAGAGGACTTCCATGTTGCCTTGACTGACTGAGTAGATGACATCGTCTGGGTCAGCGAGTTCTTGTAGCAATGTCGCAGTCATCGTGCGCTCATCGATGGAGAGGAATATTCCGGTAGTTTCGTTGACTTTAGGTACAACGGCGCTGTTGTCGTTGTTGAAGAGAGAGATGGTGGTGGTGTTGGGCGAACGAGACGGATGAATACGCGCGTCATGCTGGTAGCAGAAGGAAAGACCATTCTCAAGGGCGAAGTCGCCACCGGAATGTCCCTGGGGTTTCGTTAGCATGGCGCAACCCACTAGTGCGTACCGTTGGAAGGATGTGAACGGGGATGAGAACTTACGTTCAAAGTCCATGCCACGGTGCCGTTTTGGAAAACCTTGTAGATGGAGCAGTAATGCCTTGAAGAGAGCAAGTAACTTCCATCCTCAAATCTTTCGATGGAGTTGATGTGGAACGGGCCCCAAGGGTAACTGCTGTTCTTGCCTAGCTCACCAAGCGGATACGTTGGCACAGCGCTTTCGAGCGAGATTTGGTCCACGTGGTCAAGATGGCTCCACTGCCAAAGAATCTCACTGTTCGTAACGTTGAGCTCAAGCGCAATGGAATCCACAACCCACCCATCCTTCGGGCCGCCGATGGATGATAAATCCCATGGGGTAACATTCACAGCGGCGATGAACATCGTACCCTCGGGCGTGATAAGGTTCTCGTGCATATCAACCCAGCTGAAAGGTTGGTACTGAGTAGGATCGTACAGCGGATAGATGCTCTCGAGTGGGTATGTTTCGTTCCAGAGAGTGACATTGTAGATGCTCTCGTATTGCTGGTTGAGGATGTAGATTACTCCATACCCGAAACCCCAAGGTTCTGTGAGAGAGATGCCACTGAAGTAGGCCAGTACGGGTTCGCCGAAGAGATCAGAAACTCTGAAGGCGGCGTAGTCGCCGTAGCCAGACTGCCAAACCAACTCGCCATCTTCTTGGAAGATGTTCAGACTGTAGTTATGGGCCCCACCTCCACTCTGAGGGAAAGTGATAACTCCCGGTGCGGTGTCACCAGTCTTGTTGACTGAAAGTACCGGGGGCTCGAAACCAGGGCGAGATTTGAAGGTTTGCCATGGCCAGGATGAGGTTGTGTTGTTCTGAGCATGGACCAGAATGGATGCCAGCGAGGCGAGAACGACGCCAGAGAACCGCATGGTGTGATGGGTAAAGAGCGAATATCACAGAAGCTTAGATGTTGAAGGTACTACAATCCTCGATTTGCTTCTTATAAGGCCTACCGCACGCCCCAAAAACACATCGCGTACCCATCAGCATCAGGGCACTGCACGAATGCTACGGCCGATAGACACTCGCAGAGTTTTCTTATACCTTGTCGCAGTACGAGCATTCTGCCTAAAAAAGAGGTTGACGTCGTACGTGCGGTGTTCGCGATTGGCTCCAGCGGAGTAGGTGGTGGGGAATTTTATCAATCTCATCTTATCAGATGCAGATCAATGCAACATCCGATAGCGGAGATCGTTCGGCGACCTTGGCATCGATGACGGTGGGTGCCGCCATCTCCTGAACAAGTTCATGCGCCGTCGAAGGGGGCCCAGCGGCAGCTGCATACCTCGGGCATGTGATGAAGATGCAGCGAATCCATTATCCTGGCCAGTAGCTCCGGAGTGCATTCAGAAAGGAAGTTGACGACGATATGTGCAATGACGTGGAAGATGAGCGCGCAGGAGCGGAGCTTCGACGATTCAAGCGATGCTAAGCTTCAGGCCTTCTTATCGATAACCCTGAGCGGCGGTCTTCAGTGATTTTACGTTTTAACACCCGCGTCATCCACTTGCTTGGGAACATCATGACAGCGCGTGTACATATCATACGCCATGGCGAAGCACTGCACAACGTTCAGCGCGGCTATCCACACCGAGATCCGCCGTTGACAAAAGCCGGCAACGCATCCACCAAGCGCGTTAATCTCTCAGTCCAGCCAGATTTGATCCTCATCTCGCCCATGACCCGCACCATACAAACTGCGATAAACATGTTTCCATTCTTGGCGGAGGCAGGTTCTTTTCACATCCCCGTTCAGATCTGGCCCGATCTTCGAGAAGCCAACGACACCGTCTGTAACAAGGGCTTGTCGCGCAAAGAGCTAGCGTCAAAGTTTCCGCAATTCGACTTCTCCGAGTGCCATGAAGAATGGGATTATCCAGTGCATAGTATTGAAGGCGCTACTGAGCGTGCCGAGACAGTACGAAGAAGGCTGAAAGAACTTTCTGCGACGTATAGCAACATCGCTGTCATCACGCATCGAGGTATCAAAGCTTTCCTCGTGAAGGGCAAGCGCTTTGGACTGGCTGAGACGCGTTGCTACCGCTTTGCAACGGAAGAAGAAGCTCGGGACGACAACATCAGGAGAGGAATCAATAGTGATACGCTCGAGGAGCAGGACTTTGGACCCACCGTATTGATCTTGGACGAGTCGCAGCGAAAAGACCAGTAATGCTACGAGGGTGTTGTCCACATCGCCTGAGCGTGACTCCTGACAAGGTCTTTGACAGTTCAACGCTATCACCTCCATTGCTGTGAAAGCAGGGAATAAGTCCTTCACCCTAGGGCTTGGTGAATCAACACCGATCGCTGCATCGTGGCGCAGAAAATCCGTGCTTGCGGTTAAGAACCTGATATGGCAGTCGGTGGCACGGTCTACAAGTCTGCACCACGAATAGCCATAAACCTCACCTGACTGTTATGAGAGCCAACTCCACTGACCATCGAGTTCCAAATTGCCTCTACTCGGGAGACCTTCGGCCACCACTGTTCAGCCTCAGTCTGTTCTTCCACCACCCTTCAACAAATCTCAACGCGTCCGCGCCCTTTCTGCAACTATGGACAACCAGTCCCAGACCGTCCAGACATGGTCTCTCAAAACCACTATTGAAGAAGCTCGAACGAAGCCGAATTTCCGCAGCTATGTGCTTTCGAAAAGCAGTGGCAAGACTATCTTGGCTCTGCATCCGATTGCTTTTGATTTCTTGCAGGAAAGTCTCGTGCATCAAGAGCGAGCAGAGTTGGCTAGCAAAATCGACGCCGACATATGCTCTGCAAAGCCGAAGACCAAACAGGCAGCTGTTTCATTCGCCCTGGAGGAGTCAATCAAGCGGTTATGTCGTTTAGGTGTGGTAAAGAAGGTAAAGAAGGATGTTGCTACGAACATTGAGCCTTCTCCGCCTAGCCAGCCAAAATCCGCAGAGACGAGCGATGTGTTGGACGGGAAGAAAACTGGTGCTATCGGTTCACCTATTAGTGTTACTAACAGTAAGCCTTCTGAGCCAGGTCAGGCTATGCCAGTAAGAACAAAGGTGTTGGATGAGAACAAACCCAGTGTCAACGATACATCGACCAGTGTCCCGCGGATAACTGCCGGGCCATCGAAGTATAGCCGGTCCAAATCGGTAGAAAAGAGCACTCTATTAGAGGGCAACAAAGTCTGTCACATCGGTACGCAGACTAGTGTCACGACGATAGCTGCCGAACCGTCAAAGAATAGGCCACCAAACACGGCGCAAATCGAGGGACGCCATGGACTCCGCGCACGAGGTGGGCCGCCAACTACCACTCTAGAGGCCTTTTTATATCGATACGACACATTCACACGACTGGCAAAGAGAGCAGCCGATCCATATCACAAGACACACATGAAAGGCCCCAAGGCCAGTCACTCGCGACGGGTAAGGTTCAGTCCTAACGTCAGATACGAAGAATACGACCAAGATAGTCCAGCAAGTACCTCCGATGTAGCCACCAGTGCCAAACCACCATGCGACACCGACCATGAGGCTGATTCATCGCCCAAGCCTTTAGTTCTGCTCTCATTATACGACGTGCCAGAAGCTCCCAAGTCCATTCCCGAGGAGCAACTCATTCGATGCGTCGACGAGGTCATGGCGCAAGGAGCTTTTGGTATCGATGAGTTGGATGCCCAGGTTCTCTACATCCAACGCGGTATTCCATATGGCGACCGTGCATACCAGTGCGCTTGGGTGAAGGAAGCGCAAGAATCGCTCACCCAAGCTTATGCCGCGGTAGACGATGCTTGCCAGAATGTATACCCTGATAGTCGTTGTTTGAAGCGGGATCCTGTTATGAAGGCTGTCGTAGCTATCGCACGGGCGCAAAGACTTCTTGAGCTTGCGTTGCTGCGCGTGAATGGCCCGGCGTATAGCAAGGCGTATCTGACTGCGTATGGGCGTGGTTGAGACTGTGATGCGCGGTTCAGAGGAGGAGGATGTATATTAAAGGACTGAGACTTCTGTGTAACCCCCGAAATACATTTTTCCCGTTGCTTTTCAAAGCTTTCTGATTCTCGCTATGCGTTTGCTTCGGTTTAGACATAATGTGTTTGCCGCTGACCCGGTTATGCGTACTTCGAGGTCGTGTGCGACTTGAATCTCGGTGCTGCATGACTAATCTCCCGCTCAACATACTGCGCAGTCTCTACGTCGAGTCCTCTTCCAGACGTTTCAACAGCCGGAACGCCTTTGTCTTTATCTGCTGAGGTGAATGATGCCATGATTTCGAGCTCTTTCTTACGCCACACGTACCATGTGCCGAGAAACACAGTCAAGTTCAAAATTATCGTAACAACAAAATATAGCCAAATCCACTGTGAGTAGATCTTGTCGTCTTCGTTGGGCTTGAAGTCAAAGAATGTTGTGCTGAAGAATGTCTGCTGTGTATCAGCTTATCTTTCGTCAAAACTATGCTATAATCGAACTTACGGCAGTAAAGGTTGCTGGTAAGAAAAACACGGTGATGGCGGCGATGATCCTCATAACTCTGCTGTCGCGTGAAGTTGATAGCGCGATGCTTTGTGACGACTGTGCAAGGCTCGTGCTCGTGCTCGCTAAACGAAGACTTATTGCTGAATCGCGCTGCGCAATACTGCTGTAGACCTTGAGATGCGGAGTCAATAATTCGACCACGAGATACCTATCTGAGTATGCTACTTACAGTTTGTACGAGCGCTTGTCCTCGCTTAGAGAGATATTCCGCGCGATCCTCAAGGCCCGCGTTCCAAGATCGCATTTGTGCATGAGAGTCGAGGAGTAATTGCTCAATCTCAGTCGCATCGTCTTCCGGTATCTTTTTCGCGATAGCTTGGCTTTTGTACCGCTTTGCTACCTGGTCAAGAAAGTCGAGCATACGCGAGATGCTTTTACAAGACCACACCACGTAAGCGAGATTGATGTTCGCGGCATTGAGATCTTTAGATAGTGTGCTGAAATCAATACTGGACAACTCGGGATTATCGTGATGGTCAAATCGAATACCTACCCTTCGCTCATGCCAGTAAATCCTGTCTTGCCACAGGTTAAGTGCTTTTACGATCCGTTCAAGATTGAAACGTACGATGATACTTGGGATGAGGAATGCAGATGTACTAGAGGCCCCTTCTTGTATGACGTTCGAGAAGCGGTCGTAGTTGTTGCTTGCAAGACCATGCATAAAGATGTACATGTGTCTGGTGGAGAAGTCGTATGTGAAAGAAGCGCTGATACACACGTGGGACATCGCTCCAGGCACCGATTGTAAGATAAAACCTAAGGTTTTGAGCTAACTACCAAGCTTGAGTTCATCTGCCACTTACTCAGATACCTGCTTCGCATCTCTTTCGGCGAGGTGTGCGCCATGTGTGAGGGCAGTTGAGGGCTGGCGAAGACGTATGTCGCAGCTCTGTAATCAAGGACCCGGGAGTATATTTTTGGTGTTCGCGAAAATGGAGCAATACGCCCAAATGCATGCGACGACAAAGGTACAGGTGTCATGTTGCCATCGTACTCTCCTACGCGCCTCGACCAGCTGTGATAATCAGGGTCAGTGCGATAACCTTCACACAATGCAAAGACCATACCCACAATAGCTTGATGGTCTCGACATTTGCTGGCAGCTCGTTTCTGCTACCATTTGTCTTTGCTCATGTTAACGGGCATCTACCTGGAACACTAGTGTAACTTGCCGAGAAATCTTTCTCGATGTATTGCTCGATCAAATGTTCCGTCACTTCCAATCTCCTCGCATGGCCATCGCTGGTCACTTCAATCAGCTTCAGAGGCGCGTCCTTGTTCTCCACAAAGGCCAGCGGCGAATGTGTGGCCATAGCCATGTGTGATAGTGAGGCCGTTCGCGGTCGGCTTCGTAGCTTTGTAGCGACGCTATATTTAGGATGAGACTGTTCCTAGTAGGTTATCGGCATGCTTGTCGAAGTGGGAGAACATCGCAGATTGTTGTGATGAGATCAAGCTGAACCATCTCAAGATCTCAGCCGCAGTGGGGGCCAAATGAACCACTCGATCGCGATTGGCGGAGAAGAGACAGCTGTCACATCCCTTATGCATCCATGTGAACCAACAAGATTACCCATGGAAACTAGAAGTTCGAGGAACGTCGTCGTGCATATCGAGGACATGCGGGTAGGATGAGAGAGGCGCAGCGGCGGGGGGCGCTCTTGCCTTGCAGCACGCGGGCGTGAGGTATCCATGGATGCAAGTGGCCACTTGCACAAATCGATGTTAGGGCGAAGACGCTGCGTCACGCATTTACACAGCTACTGATTGTACGCATAAATGATAACTTTTGATCCACTCGCCAAATCCTATCCTATACAGCAAATGCGAAAATCGTAGCGACGTTGTTCGTCGCGAAGTAAAAGAGAGGAGCCGATGCGAGCCGAGTGGGAAGTGAAGGCCGCATACTTGGCAGGCGCAAGCGACCTCGATTCAGCCAGCACCGGTCGTCACATCCAAAAAGGAATTGTGCCGCACTTCCACACGAGCACAACTACTCATCTGCCGATAAAACACCATTTTCAGCGCCGTGCAGAGCATCAAGTGCACGTTCCAGCTCCTGCTCAGCAACCATGACGGTTCCAGCACGCGCGGTGCTCAAATAACTCATCTCAACAGGATCCTCCAGTTGCCCTGTGGTTTCGCCGACTAATCTGCCAGCTACACCGCACACAATGCCGGTGCTTTCCATTGGCAGACCTCGTAGATCCAAGGTGATGGGTGTCAAGAACTCATCTCTGGAGCCTAGGAGAGTATCTGGCGCGAAATGTGGTAGTAAGCTGTGGTCGAGCAGCAGCGCGGCAGACTCGGTATCAGTTAGTGTGAGCGATAAGAATTTCGGATATGGCTGCGTGATGAGGCATTTTACGAGACCGAGGTGGAGTGCGTCGTCGGCGGCTGTCGTCATGCTGTTGCGGTTTCGAGCTTGAGACATGCCATTTGTACTGTCGCGTCGACCGGCGCACTGCACGAGCCGGATGCTCGAATCCACCGTGGGAACAATTTGACGACGCTTAAGTGTAGCGAAGGTCCTGGTTTGAAGCTCTGAAATCGTGGTTGGCGGAGGGGTACTGGGCGGCTGAACTTCCAGTGACGCGGCTGAGTGCTTGCGGGCATGTTGGAAAGAGTTGACGTATGAGGAAGTGTCTTTTTCGAACTGGAAACCACGCTCTTCTAGCGCCTGTACGACCTGCGATCGGTGTCGCAGTGGGACCAGGATGTAGTCGGAGAAGTAGGTGGTGATGAAGAATATAGGGCTGGAATTAAGTCAGCCTTGTGCGGAAGCCTTGTGATGGCCTCTACTTACATTCCAGCCAGAGCAAGAGGACTTGTCAACTCCAAGACGCGTTGTCCTGCATCAAGTCCCTCGCCATCGACTTGCATTACGACATAGTCATCTGTGGTGATACTGACAGACGCTCTTGACTCAGGATCCAGCAAGTTGAGGACAGGCAGAAATAGTTCACTCGCAAGCGTCCTCGAACATACAATGGAGCACTCGACTGGTGTAATGGAGATATTCACAAAGGGATGTTCGCAGGGCCAGCCTTTGGGCGGCTGCACGGCGCCAGAGCCATTTCCATAAGACTTGCGCGTCGCATTGGGCAGAACTAATTGAAGAATAGACTGGAGAAAGTTGCGATACAGAGGTAACGGGATGTGAATGAGAGCGAGTTGGGTATCCTTGAAGGTGATCATGTTAGCTGATGTCCATGTGAGAGAAAATTTGAGTGTGGGAGGCGAATTATAAGAGTTGCCCTGCCGTTATGTCGTGCATGAAGGACCCGCCACCAAGGCTCTCTCCGGTGTAAGACACGGACACTTTTGCTACCATGCAATGCAGCAAAATGCATAATGAGGGGAGGCCCACGTACCAGAATACGGATATTTGCACTGAGCAGTGTCAAAGATGAGTCCATTACGTGCCACAAAAATAGATAAGAATAGGCGTTTTCGATGACGATCGCTCGCGTGCCCGTGGGTAGCTGGCTTCGGGATCACTTTCCGATTCGGCAAGTCAAGCTTGACGAGGCTTGCTAAGAGGTCCGTGGAGCCTCCAGAAACCGTAGAAAAAGCAAGCTTATCGTTATTCCGAGACTCTTAGGATCGAGATGATGGCATGCAGCCACAGATGAAAATGCGGGGGATCTGACCAGACTATCGGTTGATGTGTTCTTGTCCAACGGGCCAGTGCGAAGTATTGTTTTTGAAGCCGAAATTCATCCCACAAGCCGGATATGTGTAACTTGGAGAGCAGGATGTGTGGCGCCTGGATACCTCGGGTGTATATGACACAAGGTGCTGTAAGCAATCGTACCGATTCAGTTACGGACCGATGGCATGCGTGAAAGTGACACAATGGCAGGGCACGGTCTGGAAGCTGCTGTATGTGACCTCGAGGCTTGGATTAGGACAAAATGCCGTGAGTCTGGGGTAAAGGATGCGGCGTGGGGATTGATGCAGGTAACCCTTGTCTAATTGGCTGGGAGGCTCACGGATGGTACAGGTGGATGAACCTTATAGTTGGATTTCAGGGCAGAGTGCGCAATGCGCGGGGCCAGATGGGCGCGTGGGGTGGCACACTGGACGGGAATGGACGCCTGGAAGACGGCTGGACGCAGGAATCGGTCCTGCGCGTAGAGCGGATGCTGCTGCTGACGTCGACTGTGAAGGCGTGGGACAGAACCCGGTCAAAAGGCAGTGGAGTGGCAGCTGGCGATGCTGACGGAGTGGACCGGTGGTTTTCAGGAAGCATCAACGCTTTATGTGAGTCGACGTGCAAGAGTGGAGCTGATATCCGGGTGTGGTGACTCGATGAGGCACCCCGAGAATTTTCCACGACGGCGCGCCCATGATGCTGGGAGATTGGCTCTGTGGCCGGCGGCAAAACAATAGTCAGCGGCGAGCAGAGC